ATCAGCCCGGCCCGAACCAGTTTTTTTTTTTTTTTTTTTTTTTTTTTCTGAGCCCACCTCGAACGAGACAGATTATCCTTATTTTCCGCCATACACGTTTCATTGCCCTACAAGTCGCAATGTCCAAATTTGTCTAATAAAGTGGAAAAATCCATAAATATGTCACTTTGCCGTATACATCACATCTATTATGTGTCACCGCTGTGGTGACGCGTCGCATTTGTTTCGCGTCACCACTGACCACCCAGAAATGTGGGCCGGTGCTGTGCCAAAAATCAATTGGCTGCCAAATGGTGGCCGCGGGAGTGTTCACGGGAGGACTTTAACAAGAATTTAACAAGATTAACACTTAAAAACAATCGTTTATTTAAAATTATAGAAAAGGTGTGTCTCAGTTGAACTTTTACTTAATAAATGCACTTGATGGTCAAACCAGCTGCATTTCAAAACCCAATTCGCAGAAGCAGGCACGCACAGAGGGACGAGCCTCTGTGCATTTCTTTGAAATCTAACAAGATAACCACCTAAAAACAATTTGTTTGCTCGACTTTATAGCAAAGGTGTGTTTCAGTAACTTTTGCTTGATAAATGCACTTTGACAGTCAAATCAGCTGCATTTTGCCGGTGTGGCGCAGCGAAATGAAACTGATCTGGTTGCTCGAGGCAGATGACTGTGGCAGGCTATGGCAGGTTGATTGTGTCATTAATAGCCACTTTTACCTATTACATGATACAACGGCATGCCATACTACTCTGCTGCCATCTAGTGGCTGAAATGGTAGTGTTCAAATTTTTCAGTCAGAATGAATGAAAACAGTCACATCTCAGCCAAAAATTGGTTTATAAATATGGGGGAAAAATCCATAAATGCGTTGCTTCAGCATACAAGTCGCATGCAAATTATGCAAATTATGCAAAACAAAAACAAAAACGCGACTTGTACAATGAAAAATACAGTAACTATAATTAGAAGTCAGAACCCCCCCAAAAACGGACTTTTTAATTAAACTTTTACTGCTTTTGTAAGCAAATCAGTTTTGCATGATTTAAAAACATATTTCAAAGAAAGGAAGACATAAGATTTGTTGTTTATTAAAAAGAGTCATTGGATTATCATACAAACCGGATTCCAAAAAAGTTGGGACACTAAACAAATTGTGAATAAAAACTGAATGCAATGATGTGGGGGTGCCAACATCTAGTATTTTATTCAGAATAGAACACAAATCACAGATCAAAAGTTTAAACTGAGAGAATGTATCATTTTAAGGGAAAAATCTGTTGTTTCCAAATTTCATGGCGTCAACAAATCCCAAAAAAGTTGGGACAAGTCCATTTTTACCACTGTGTGGCATCCCCCCTTCTTCCTACAACACTCAACAGACGTCTGGGGACAGAGGAGACCAGTTTCTCAAGTTTAGAAATAGGAATGCTCTCCCATTCATGTCTAATACAGGCCTCTATCTGTTCAATCGTCTTGGGCCTTCTTTGTCGCACCTTCCTCTTTATGATGCGCTAAATGTTCTCTATAGGTGAAAGATCTGGACTGCAGGCTGGCCATTTTAGTACCCAGATCCTTCTCCTACGTAGCCATGATGTTGCGATTGCTGCAGAATGTGGTCTGGCATTATCGTGTTGAAAAATGCAGGGTCTTCCCTGAAAGAGATGACGTCTAGATTGGAGCATATGTTTTTCTAGAACCTGAACATAGTTCTCTGCATTAATGGTGCCTTTCCAGACATGCAAGCTGTCCATGCCACAAGCAAACATGCAACCCCATACCGTCAGTGATGCAGGCTTCTGAACGGAGCGTTGATAACAACTTGGGCTATCCTTGTCCTCTCTGGTCCGGATGACATGGCGTCCCAGTGTTCCATAAAGAACTTCAAATCGTGACTCATCTGACCATAGAACAGTCTTCCATTTTGCCACACTCCATTTTAAATGACACCTGGCCCAGTGCAAACGTCTGAGCTTGTGGAGCTTGCTTAGAAATGGCTTCCTCTTTGCACTGTAGAGTTTCAGCTGGCAACGGTGGATGGCACGGTGGATTGTGTTCACTGACAGTGCTTTCTGGATGTATTCCTGAGCCCATTCTGTTATTTCCTTGACAGTGGCATTCCTGTTTCAGGTGCAGTGACGTTTAAGGGCCCGGAGATCATGAGCATCCAGTAGAGTTTTACGGCCTTGACCCTTACGCACAGCGATTGTTCCAGATTCTCTGAATCTTTTGATGATGTTATGCATGTTTAATGATGATAACTTAAGTCTTTGCTATTTTACGCTGGGTAACACCATTCTGGTATTGCTGCACTATCTTTCTGCGCAACAATGGTGGAATTGGTGATCTTCTTACCATCTTGGCTTCTGAGAGACACTGACACTCTGAGAAGCTCTTTTTATACCCACTCATGTTGTCAATTGACCTAATTAGTGTTAATTGGTCTTCCAGCTGTTCGTTATATGCCCAATTTCCTTTTTCCAGCCACTTATTGCTACTTGTCCCAACTTTTTTTGGGATTTATTGACACTGAAATTTTGAATCAACATATTTTTCCTTTAAAATGTTACATTTACTCAGATTAAACTTTTGATCTGTCATCTGTTATATTACGAATAAAATATTGACATTTGCCATCTCCACATCATTGCATTCAGTTTTTATTTACAATTTTAGTATCCCAACTTTTTTGGAATCCAGTTTGTAGTTATTGTAATATTATAGTTAATGGTCGGCGGACGCGCACAGCTAATGATCTGGTTGTCAATCTGTAACAACCCACCCCCAAAACTAAGGTAAAAGGGGGATTAATTACATAAAGCATTAATTAAGTCATGGGCAGTGTCTGGAGCTGACAGCACAAAAAAACTTATTAGTTGAGGTTTAGGAATAACCAAGTACAGTAAACGGAAAATAATTTCCCTGCACAGGTAAAAAGCTCATAAACTAATACACTGGCCACGAAGTATAACATTTAAGGCAGTTTACACAATTTTATCAAGCCATCAGTTATGACCCACAAACACTTCATCCCACAACATTTCCATATCAACACATGAAATTCCATAAACCCCATAAATAAAAAAACAAGAAGTTCTTCAAACTTTCAGTCCAACTATCCTCTTGGAAGGAAAGTAAGTTTTGAAGGAGGATGAAGGAAACGCCCACTCAATCTAGGCGTTGACCCGCCAAAAAATAATAATAAATTGATCTCGCCACATCTCTATGTCCATAGGCTTTAGCGTGCCTCTGCTGCAGTCCTGGGTACGAAAAAACAATAGGTTTCAGGTTAGGTTTATTTGTCATATGCAAAATCAACACAAGGTCAACAATGCAATGAAATGCTTAGGACGAGAAGAACGTCTAGACTCGCCAAAAAAAAAAACACAAACAAAAAAATATCGAAGCATGCAGCAAAAATAATAAAAACATAGTAAAAAAATACTAACATTAAAAAACCTATTAACATACTACTAACATAATAAAAAACCTATTAAAATACTAATAACATAATAAAAACCTATTAAAATACTAATAACATAATAAAAACATATTAAAATACTACTAACATACTAAAAAACATGTAAAAAATACTAACATACTAAAAAAATCTACAGTGTGATTTGGTTAGCAGTGAGGTTCTTTCAACATCATGGTTCTGTTCTGTTAGTGGCGTGATCTTGTTAGCAGTTCCAGTCAGCAGCTTGCTGGTAATAAAGACCCGCAGCAGCTGCCCTCACAGACCGCAGTCCAGAACCAGGTCTGGCAGACAGAACATCCAAGGGATGGGATAATGTGGGATCCAAACATCCCATAGTCCACTGTTATCCAAACTCGGGGTGGAAAATAATCTGCAGGTAATCCAGGGAAATGGTCTCACGTCAGATCCTCCCCTGCAGGTGTGCACCCAAGTAAAAAAAAAAAACACGCTGTCACTTCTAAAACCGCATCAAAAGCCCGACCGGCCCATAAAGCACGTCATTTTGACCTGATCTGCCGGTTTGGGGCTTGGGCAAAAAAATTGCAGCTTTACCCTAGATTACGGTCTTTGGCAGGGTGCTTGTTGAGCAGTGCGGGTAGCGGAGTGCTACATTACTAATGCTAGGTCAACGCCTTTTCTGTGGTTGCAATCGTCGTCCGGACGTAGCAGAACTTTCAGCGAAGGGTGGGGTTTTTGGCTGGCAGGGGGTTTTGTTCTGTTGGCAGGGTGGGGCGCCTTCCTTGGAGTATGGTCAGAGTCTGACAGAAACCAGCAGTTTTTTATCTTTATTTTGTACAATATTTTTAATTAAAGCTTGGGTTCCAGTGGTTTAAACAACTGAGAACAACGTGAGACTGAAAACTCCTGCAGAACAAGGTCGTTGTTCAGTGCCTCAGTTATGCTAAATCACAATTTAAAGTCATTAAAGTTCTTGTATTTTTGTACAAAATAGTTTGATATAGGGAAAGAAGTCTCTTTGGCCATGGACAGATTTAGCTGATTGAATCCAATCAGAATAAAGAACGATTATTAATTAGTGCAGGACACCGACTAATTCATGAGTAATTATAATATATATTTTTTATATTATGCTTATGTTGTATATCTCTGTATACTCCAGTATTTCTATACCCAGTTTCTTACCATACATCACAACTATCTGCTGTACATGAACAACAATGGTCTAATTGTTGCATGGCGTACACTCTAATGCTAAATTATTACTGCATTTCCCTTCTATTATACATATCTCCATCTGTGTTACTGGAAAAAGCTCACTGGAACTGGATCATGGAAAAATGTCATTTCCTTCCAGCTCAGATCACATGTACGGAGCAAGTTATTGTGTCGGTGATGGAACGATTTCACCTCTTGTGGGGGGCTGAAAAGACAAACATTTAGTTTGGAAAAAGAACCAGATTTGCTCTACATGATCCGAGCACAGAAACAGAAATGCGAAATGAACTGTCTGAGACGTCCCCTCCATGTTCTTGACTCCAGCTTTCTGTCTTCCTGCAGAGTCACGGGAGGTGAGCTGTTTGAGGACATTGTTGCTCGAGAGTACTACAGTGAAGCTGATGCCAGGTCAGTGTTGGACCATCCTTTACATTTACTGACACATCCCCTGTGGTCATGAAGGCATATTCAGGCTCAGACTAGCAAATCGTAAAATTACAAACGTGATAATCTGAAAATATGAACAATAATTATACAACTAAGTCTTGCTCTGCCTTTTATATGCCTTTTATGACCAAAAAAAAAAAAAAGTTTTTGTCTGCCTTTTGCCCTCAATTTCTCCTCTCCCAATTATATTTAAAAAAATCCACTGGGAATAAAATCCTGTTAATATTCATTTCATAAAGATTAAGTTAATTTGAGTGAAACGGTACAAATCTAAAACTTGAAGAAAGGTTTAAGTTCAATCATCCAGGTAAATAAACCACAAAACGGGTTAAATCAGGTCATCTGGACAGTTTCTTTTTGGAAGAAATGTTTAGTCTTTCATCTGAAAGACCATCAGTGTGAGGCCTGCCACCAAGATCTGTCTTATAACTAGCACCTCCTTGACGTGGTTCAAGCCAGTCTGCTGTGGATTTCACAGAAACTGTCTTTACATTAGGAGGTGTAAATCACCAGCTTTACCTCAATACGATATTATATTGATTTTCTCTATCACAAAGTCTGTCGCGATACGATTTCGATTCTAGTCTGCAATCGATATATTGCAATATCAAATGCCCATCTCATTTACGTATAAATAAATTACAAAAACAATTAAAATAAGATTTAACCATTTTATTTCTGTTATGACAGGCACCAGACATTTAAATAATAATAATTAAAAAAAACTTAATTAATGAAAAAATAAAAATAAATTACCTGTTCAGTATAGTCTCTCATTTTTCATGTTTAAGTGCATTTTTTTAAACCAGTTAACTTAAAAGTGTCCTGATTACCGTTCAGTTATAAAGAAACAAAAAAAGATATTGAGCTTGCATAACATGACTATCAATGTTTCTTCTTCAGGTGAACGGCAAAATTTGTTGTTTCCCGGTTATTTTAACTCACACTGGCACCTGTTGCATACGACATGAGTTTTCTGTTGATCCGTCCTTCTGTCAGATTCCAAATTATTTCCACAGTGTTTATTTAAAATATAGCAGGAGAGTGAATTTCATCATCTGTTTTCTGCCTCGTCTGCCATGTTGCTGAGGCGGCCGCAAGGGGCGGCCACAGGGGGCAGCCGCAGGGGGTGGCCGCAGGGAGCGGGCGCGGACGCGCACATAAATAGTGACACAGACGTGTCTTGGGAATTTCAAAATAAAAGTGTATTTTAAAGATGACTATATGAATCGATGTTTTAGTTTTGCCACAATATAATTGAATCATTAATCATTTCATCGATATATCGATGTAAATCGATGTATTGTTACACCCCTACTTTACACATGAAAAGTCGGACAGATTGTCTCTTTTTGCATGTGTAAAGACAGTTTCTGGGAACTCCACAGCAGACTGGTTTGCGCCACATCATTGAGGTGATACTTATAAGACAGATCTTGGTGGCAGGCCTCAGACTGATGGTCTTTCAGATGAAAACAAAATGTTTCTCCCAAAAAAAACTGTCCAGATGACCTGATTTAACCTGTTTTGTGACTGAAACTTGAAGGTTTGACCATCTTTCTTAATTTTACATGAAGTTTAACCAAGTTAGAAACTCTCTCTGAATGACAGGTTTTGCTTTGCTGTGGGTTTAAGACCTCTAGACCTCCATTCCCCCACCCCAAAGTGTCATTTGAAAGCGTACATAACAGGATCAGGACCTGCACGTGTCTTAAATGTTTGTCTATCTAAATGAGCTGAAGGAACAGTTCAGTGGTTTTGTTTCTAGGATCAGTTGTCTCAAGTTCCATCCATCCATCCATCCATTTTCTTCCGCTTATCCGAGGTCGGGTCGCGGGGGTAGCAGCCTAAGTAGGGAGGCCCGGACTTCCCTCTCCCCAGCCACTTGGGCCAGCTCTTCCAGGGTAATCCCGAGGCATTCCCTGGCCAGCCGAGAAATATAGTCCCTACAGCGTGTCCTGGGTCTTCCTCTGGGCCTCCTTCTGGTGGGATGTGTCTGGAACACCTCACCAGGGAGGCGTCCAGGAGGCATCCTAAACAGATGCCCAAGCCACCTCAACTGGCTCCTCTTGGCGTGGAGAAGCAGCGGCTCTACTCTGAGTCCCTCCCGGATGATTGAGCTTCTCACCCTATCTCTAAGAGAAAGCCCAGACACCCTGCGGAGAAAACTCATTTCGGCCGCTTGTATCCGAGATCTCATTCTTTCGGTCACAACCCAAAGCTCGTGACCATAGATGAGGGTAGGAACGTAGATCGATCGGTAAATTAAGAGCTTCGCCTTTTGACTCAGCTCTCTCTTCACCACGACAGACCTGTACAGCGCCGGCTTCACTGCAGATGCTGCACCTATCCGCCTATCGATCTCACGCTCCGTTTTTCCCTCATTCGTGAACAAGACCCCAAGATACTTGAACTCCTCCACTTGGGGTAGGACCTCCTCCCTGACCCGGAGAGGGCACTCTACCCTTTTCCGGCTCAAGACCATGGCCTCGGATTTGGAGGAACTGATCTTCATCCCGGCCGCGTCGCATTCGGCTGCGAATCGCTCTAGCGAAAGCTGTAGATCACGATCTGATGAAGCCAATAAGACCACATCATCTGCAAAAAGCAGAGGCAAAATCCTAAGGCCACCAAAACGGATCCCCTCAACACCTTGGCTGCGCCTAGAAATTCTGTCCATAAAAGTTATGAACAGAATCGGTGACAAAGGGCAACCTTGGCGGAGTCCAACTCTCACCGGGAACAAGCCCGACTTACTGCCGGCAATGCAGACCAGGCTCTGACACCGGTCATACAGGGACCTAACAGCCCGTATCAAAGGGCCCGGTACCCCATACGCCCAGAGTACCCCCCACAGGGTTCCCCAAGGGACGCGGTCGAACGCCTTCTCCAAGTCCACAAAGCACATGTAGACCGGTTGGGCAAACTCCCACGCACCCTCCAGGACCCTGCTGAGAGTGTA